AGGAGGAACAACGGAAAGCGTGAAGCCTGTCTGGCCCCTTAATAACTGACCAGAAAGTACTAACACACTTTGGACTGCTCACGATAGGTTAAGCTTAAAACGCTTGCCACTGCTAACGACCGACTGCTGGGCAGCTGTTCGTAAGCAGACGCAAGATGCTCACAACCAGCATTAAGCCTCTCCGGTCGTAAGCTGCCGCAAGTGGGTAAACCAGCCTTAAGTTTGGACGCAATCGTCGCTGCGTGCTAATGGAACCAACCAATGTCCAAAGCTCATGTCACTGGGCCTTTCCTCTACATGACTGGTCTAGCGATGATAGAACACGCACAGAAACATGACAAACACTGATGCGCTTTTGACAAAGTATGTTTGGTTACATCATTTTCTCACTGGAACGAAGCCTTAACACCGTTTTTATGATGCGAAATGCTGACACACTTCTTATTCACGCTCACATAATCTTGGAGTAGCATACTATTTTCGTGGCTGTCACGTGCTGTAGTGCACTGACCTCTTCTTGGTGAACTCCCTTGATAGTATTGGCGTTACTTGTGGGTGTAACGAAGACCAACATATATGATAAAAGCACATTTAGTGGTAAAACATATTACTTCTTCTAGTTCATTATGCTGCTATACGCCACCATGATCTTCCTAAAGACTGCACCATCAAGCCCTTACGAGCTACAACGAGCGTCGAGAAAAACTAACACAGATCGGAAAAGCTGTGTAATTTGGGCCTGTAAGAGATAATGCTTCAAGCTCCTGTAGAATAGAGATAAATTTATTTTGAATCACTTTCTTTCTGGTCTCTTCAGATGTTCGGTAAATACAGGGTGTTTTTTCTAGGCTCTACAGACCTGTTTTAAGAAAAGTAGTGACGCTAATCCAGTCCTTGCAGATTAGTTATACGACCAGGGGGACATAATCGAAGGCTAATCGTCACGAAATGTAATATAATCAACTAAGTTTGTTGGTTTAAGTTTTAATTAGTAAGAATAAACGTATGATTTTAATTATAAAGTTGGTGAGAGTCGTCGAAGGCCTTCAAATCAGTAAATTTGAGAAATATGTGGCGCGCGTGGGAAGCGCGGTAGGACCCGCCGAAGTTACCACTCTTGCAGAAGGCGCAAGGCTGGAGGTGCGGAAACTGCGGATAATATCTGAACTGAACGCCTAAAAAACAAAGACAAGAGGAAGAGGAGACAACACGTTGGCGGGCTCGCAACTGATGGCTTAATTTGAAAACACGCGCACACTTATACACGGTTCGTAACACACCACGTCATTACCGTAGTCCCCACTCTTTTTACAAAAATACAAATTCCATATCAAGACGTGGTGTGTGACGAATCGCGTACAAGTGTGTGTTCTTCAAATTGAACCTTCAGTTGCGAGTACGCCGACGTGTTGTCTTTTCTTCCTCTTGTCTTTGTTTTTTAGGCGTTCAGTTCAGATGGAAAACCATGCAACTAGCTCAATGTATCATTTTGATGCGCATAATAACACCACCGCTCGCTTATCCGCCTTTGCAAACCGCCAGCTTTACGCGTGTCGCACCAGTGATAAATTTAGCTCACCGCCGCGCTTCCCACGGGACCCTAATCTTTCTAAAATTTACTTTATTAGTGGTTTATGATGACGCTCACCCAGCTTCCAATTAGAACCCTATGCTTTTTTTCACTAACTAAAAAATTAATATATTTTTTTAATCATCAGATTTATCGTGGTAATTAGCCTCCTATAATATGTGCCGCTGGTCATGTAACTCACCCGCACAGACCGGATTAGTGTAGCTTTTAGGGCTTTTTTTTAAAAGTAAATAAGTAAAGCCTCAAATAACATCCTCTATAAAAGTCAATAGACCGACACGCGGGCTTGACGTCACGGAGCTGCGGCGGCGCTGCGATCGCGCCGGAGCCGGGGGGTGTGGGCAAAAGCTCGCACGTTTCGCATGGGCGTCATAGTACTTCAGCATGCCGCGAAGCTGTGTTGCCGTTAATTGCACCGAAATATACAAGAAAAGCAGCGGAATGAGTTTCCACAAGTTCCCGGCAGTCTCTGAAAGGCACAGAAGGTGGATAATATCCGTGGATCGAAAAGAATGGTCGCTTCGCACGAACGACTGTTTGTGCGGCAAACACTTTCTTGAAGGCGAGTGCGGCTTCCATTTCAACCTCCGTCCCGATGCTTGCTTATGTACAGGGAAACCGTTGTCTGATCGAGACCACCCGGATTTTGTTCCCATGGTGTTCACGCACAAAGCACCGGCCAAGCGCTCGTCGGAGGCTCGCTACGCCCGTGCTATCCGGCAGAAGGGGATCGGCGACAGAACGGCAGTGTTGTGGGCGGTACCGAAAAAAGTAACGAAATACGTTACTCGTTACTTGCAAATAAAAGGTACGCGTTACTCAGCTACGTTACCTAAAAATAAAAGGAACGCGTTACCACTACCGATAAAAAGTAACGCATGTTACTTCTTCGTTGCTTTTTTAAATTATGATTTAACACATTTTACGGTTTTGACGATATAGGTCAAATATCAAGAAACATTATGTTCATGCAGAAACTGAACATAATTACGTTATCTCTTTTTACGGTTTCACCTAAATACTTACGAGAAAAAACGCAAAGAAAAACATGGCTTGACGCCTAAAACACGGAAAAATTGAAGTGTAAATTCATTAAGTCTTGGGAAGCAGTAATGAGTAACGTAACTACTTTATTTGAAATAGTAAATAAGTACGTTACCCGTTACTGTGTCGAAAACGTAACGAGTAGGCTACTACGTTACTGAAAAAAGAGTAATGCGTTACCAACAACGCCGTTACTTGTAACCTGTTACCGCCAAGATTGCAGAACGGACAAAGCGTTACTGCTTGTCTTGTCCTGTGGTCATGAGGGTAGGAAAAATATCATACCTTGAGTTGAAAACGCTGTGTGCATTTAATCAATTAATTAAAGGGGCGATGCAACGATTTTTGTATTTTGCGCAAATACCGCTTAGAACGAATCCCTGACGTTAATGACCTGTGAAATACCCGTTCGTTTTTCACTACACGCAATCGAAGTCGCAGAAAAAATAAAGAAAAAACGAGCAGAATTCATCACCTCAACTCGCAGCCAGAACAAGCGGCCACGTGATCTGGAGCCGATTATATGCCGCCAATGTTGATCATAGCCATGCGCTGGGGTTGGCAAGGCACAAGACACGCGCTGAGTTCCGGGCATTGTTATGGTTCGGCTGTTGTCGTCATTGCAGCGATTGGACACACGACACTACCCGAATGCTTCTCGAGCTATAGATTATCACAAACCCAAATCGAGTGCCCACGCAATGCTCGGGTCCAGTCTATGAGCCGGATTCAAATATCGTCACTGGGCGGTACTGCTACCGCCCAGCTACGTCATCAGGTTTTGCGAAGGAGAGATTGAATGAAAAAGCTCGGTTTTGTCCTCAAAATTACAGCGCAAAAAAGAGTTTCTTGGTCAGTGGCTTTGCGTGCGAGTATCCTTGAGTGCTACTAGTGCCAGTAAGCTCGTGTAAAGTGAAAAACATTCCAATTGAATATTGTTGCACTGCCCCGTTAATACACACACTTCCGCAGACCCACAGTCTGCTGATCCCGCCGGCAGTGCAGAAACCGACTCGAAATAATCCTAGACCTCGAGAGACTTGTACGCCTGCACCGTGTCGGCCGTGAACAGGCTTGGCGATAAAACTAAATAAACGACGACGTGAGCCCTCGACTTCCGTGGCAGCAACGTTACGTCGAAAGTCCAGCAGGCCTTGTTTTCGGCGCACGGATCCTCTTAGGCAACGCCGTCCACGCACAGTTTGTTTCGATGCCGCTGCCGTTCAGGCTCGGGCAACGAGCTCAAATAGTCGGGCATAGCATACGACATACGTTGTGAGGAAATACGACGCACAAATAAAGGCACAAGCGTCCCTACAACGTCAACAACGAGCGCACGCCATAGAACGCAATGGCGAAAACACGGAGAGCCGGGCTGCTTTTGCCCACATAGCTACCGCGCATGCGCGGCCTTCCGGCCGTGTTGGTAAACAGAGCCGCTCCGCGTGTCGGTCTATACGGTAGCCACCGTATTCGGTGAAAAAGTTATAAAATTACCGAGATGATTTATTCATTTATTGTTTTTGTTTTCTGTTCCACACGAACAGCTATACGCCTTTTTAGTGGTGCCCTATGTCAAACTAATAAGAATTCACAAGTTCACATGTAAAAAATAAAGGAAGGATATCAATGCAATTTCTACATGTTTCTTCGCATCCAAAGATATCAATATCAAATTTTTCTAGCTTTGATTCGAATATGTTAAAAACCAGTTGCAGACGAGTAATTGGATCACTGTTGGTCGAAACAGAAGGATAAAATAATGTCGTGTGCACGACTCGACCGTCGAGGAACACGTTAATACACAGAGTTCATAAGTGCTGTGCGATCAACAACGCCATTAACAACTTTATGCAAAAACATTGAAATTCGCATCATTCGTCTTATTGCACAAAGAGTGTAAGCCGATCAGTTCACATATTGTCTGATGGTCATAAATCACCTTGAATTATAAGTAACGATCATAAAAGACACGCTTGCATTTCTCTTGAACTCCCTCAATACCGAAATAGTTAACCTGTTCAATGCTGTTCCATATAATTGAAGGAAGCTGAAGGCGGCTTCGCAACAGAAAGCGAAATGACATAAAAAAACAAAGTGGAGTTAAAATGTCTCGATATAGGTGTTACGACACCAAGAACACTTAGAGACTACTTGACAATATTTGTAACATGATGATTAAAAGAAATTTCAGTGTCAAAATATACACACAAACACCTGATGAAAGGCTGATTACGCCTCTCGGTGACCGCCAGAACAGTGAATTCCACTGGCTCGTCACACAATAAACATCAATAAACGGGGACAAAAAAAAAGTTGGGCAGAGTTGGTATATAAGATTGCTCAACCCCCACCGCGTACTCACCGAAGAGGAGGCTGACAACGATTCCCACAAAGACGGCAGAGAGGAAGCCCATGCAGCCCGTCCAGACATAAGAGATATGGTAGAACATGAGGATGCCGCTACAATGAACAAAAACACGAGGAAAGGTGTCAGTTGTTAGCACACGACTCTTTGCAGAATGTCCTTCCTCGAACACTAAAACATGATATTTTACAAAACAAAAAAAAAAAGCAAAAAAAAAAAAAAGCACGAGAGTTTAAAGTAAGAGGGTGCAGGTTAAACATGGCACATTTTTCCGAGAGTGGGGTATTTTTAAAGACGACACAAACATACGTGCACACACAAAAGCTGAACAATTTGAGAAAAAGTTCCAGAGCTGGCGTATTTAATAAAATAATAAAAAAATGCAAAAAAAAAAAACAAAAAAACTCCCGAGTCTTTTTTTTTTAAATATTTGTTTCTGGGAACGAATGACTGATAATTGTAATATACACAAAGGCCCCATGAAAAAAACAAAACAAAAAAAGCATATATATTAGTTCTACCGCGCCACGTTGTACGAACACGACCATCGGGACCTTTCCTTATTTTTCTCACAACAGAACGAGAACACTAATTATTGATGCCTACGTTGCCAATGTTGCGTGTAATAGACCGAGATGATAATATTGCATTTTGCATTATTTGTCATGTTCTTCCAGAAGAAAAAAAAACGAGAAAAGTATTTGTCGGATCGCCGGGCTTAGAGTACCGATCTCTTCAACTAAGGAGCCACCTTGCCTCGGAGAATTGGGCCATGACATTCATTTCCGACACCTAGATTTCCAGTGAAGATCTAGCTTATTATAATGTTAGCGCTGGATCGTCATTCGCTGCCATTCTTTAAATGATTCCGCCATTGTGTCTTCGGCATGTTGCGAAGAAAGCATTAACGCGCAGTCCGAGTTTATAAAAAAAAAAAGTGTACGAATTGTAAATTTAGCACGGTACATTTCTTGATTGCAGCAAATGTATCGTTCTAAATTTAAACAAGTCAGGTAACACGGCTCACCAGAGAAAGTCGATAATGGCAATCTGTGCTCCGTGTCACTAATGATGTGCAGTACAGGCGAAGGAAACCCTAGGCAAAGAAAGAAAGGGCGAGCACAAGTAAGGCCAGACGGGAGAGGAGGTCAATGGTCAAAGGGAGAGCACTAAGAACGTTAGAGACGAGAGGAGGTCCCTTTCATCGGCCATAGCCTTCCTAGTGCTTGCCCTATCTCCCTTCGCCTGGCGTTGCCTTCGCCTGTAATGCACGCAACTAGTGACACGGAGTATAGTTCATGGGCGCCAAACAAATTCCACACAGGAAGAAGGTGGACTCGTGACCAGTCTTGTTTGCGTTACTGAAAAAAGTAACCGATTGTAATTTCAATTAATTTATTAATGCGAAAGCATTAACTGTCCCATGGAGCCAAGCCGGCGTTTTCTGTAGCAGCGAAACGGCACCTGAAATCCCATTGGCTGCGACGCGTCATGTGACTTCATAGCAACGGCGTCATCGTTGCTAAGGAGCGAACCGAACTGTGGGTGGCGCAGTGGAAGAGGGGGACGCGGGTGTGCGCTGGCCTGACGTCAGGCCTAACGTTAGGCCTATTGTTACGCTGTGAGATAGGGGGGGGGGGGGGGAGGTGCCGCCGCTTCCTATGCAACCTCCTCAGACATTAGGGCGCCCCGTGCTGGCCGGCTTATGAAAACTTCGTACCAGTGTTGCTGCATCTGTAAGTCATCTTTAAGTTAGAGCTGACGGAGAACATCTGGCCACGGCGCAACGCCGATGTACGCTGGAGGTTAGAGCCGGTTTGCTTTCGTTGTTTTCGTTTGGTCGGAGAAAATCTGGCAACGACGCACGTTCAACATGGCGCCGGTATTCTTTTGATTGGACGGGACGCGAGAAGCCCCGCGGTTTGCCAGCACATGTAGCGAAGACGTGACCGGAGAAGTGCCCCTGTGATGTCCCCGGAAGACGGGAAGTATCATTCGTAATTGTCGTGTGTGCTTTGAAAGTGAAGGGAGTCACAAGGTCCACGAGTGCGCAACCACAAGCCAAGGTTCACGACAGCGCTGCATTGACTTCGGCAATCTCGTTCTGTTTGGTGCAACAGAGCGATGCGACAAAGAGCTGAAACGTTCGTGGTGTGTGGTGCGGTTCTTAAAGGTAGAAACCCACACTAACACGGAGCGTAAATTGGTTGTTGAGGGGTTGGGGTTCAACGGGTTCAGTCCCGTCGTCGTCAGCTGATCAGGTCTAGCTGGTCCGGGAGGACGCAGCGAGCGTCTTTAAAAGTAACACGGTGTAAAGTTGGGCGAGTTCGTTGATGGTGATATTGAATGGGTTAAAACAGCAGAAAAAGGACGAAGGTCCAGGGAAAGGAAACACACAGACACAGCACTGCCTTACAACAGAGTGTTTACTTCTGCGCCATTCAGCAAGTAAACTTGAAACCAGATAAACATGCAAGCAATCGACCCGATAACACATCATCTTCCCATCAAGCCGACACGCGGCTACACGTATTTACTCGCCTTTCTGCTAACATTTATCTCATCACTAATCAGGGAAAGTGACGGAACATTTATGCACATGCCCACGTCAGGGTTGGCAATATAAAAAAAAAGCTTGGTCAATCTCCCGAACATACTTAGTTCGATGTCGGGATAAAATCTTAATTTCATTAAACATTGGAGAGCATGTACATCTGTCACAGTGGACCGCTAAGTTGCCAGACGGGGAGGAGCGTAAGGACAGAGAATGTTTCCTCGCCCGATCATTAACGCATCTCCCCGTCTGCCCAACGTTCACTTTTCCACAGGACAACGGAATTAAATACACCGCCCCACATGCGCAGGCGATAAACCGGTTGCGGTGCTTGACATTGTGTACCCGCGCGACCACTTCGATTCACGGCTGCACACTTTAAGTGGCGCTGTTTTTTGTTGCAAGTGAAAAGTTTGTCAAATGGTGGTAAGACCCGTGGTCTTGCCGTAAATGCACAAGGTGTCCAACGGTGTCAAGAATGTTGCAAATAGGTATACAACGTGCCACTTGTGTTGTTGGCTCCAGCTAAGTTGGGGCGGCTGTGTGCAGCCGTGAATCGAGGCGGTCGGGCGGGTACACAATGTCAAGCACCGCAACCGGTTTATCACCTGCGCATGTGGGGTGGTGTATCTAATCCCATAGTCCTGTGGAAAAATGTACATTGGGCGGACGGGGAGATGTGTTAATGACCGGGCGAGGAAACATTGTCGGTCCTTACGCTCCTCCCCGTCTGGCAAATTAGCGTTTCACTGTGACAGATGTACATGCTCTCCAATGTTTAATGAAATTAAGATTTTATCCCGACATAGAACTAAGTATGCTCGGGAGATTGACGAAGCTTTTTTTATTGCCAACCATGACGCGGGCGTGTCCATAAGTGTTCCGTCACTTGCCCTGGTTAGTGATGAGTTAAATTTTATCAGAAAGGCATACGTGTAGACGCGTGTCGTCTTGATGGGAAGATGACTTGTTATCGGGTCGATTGCTTGTATGTTTATCTGGTTTCAAGTCTACTTGCTAATAGGCTCAGAAGTAAAAATTCTGTTGTAAGGCAGTGCTCTGTCTTTGTGTTTCCTTTTACGGGTCCTTCGTCTTTTGGCGCAGTTTTCAACCCATTCAATTTGACTTTAAAAGTAAATCTTCTTTCCTTCCGTTTCAAAATGTGGAAGATTCTCGACGCATACCGTGAGTAAAAAGCGGCGGGTGTTTTCAACATTATTATGTCGTTTTAGTTGAACAATAGACTCCGCATTGTTATCTTAAATCTGCTGTTTTTATGCTTCGTGTTGTTGGACTGCGTTTGTACAGCGACGTGTTTGCACGGTGACGCACACCGCTCGAGTACATGATCCGGTCCTGCAAACGACCGGTTGTACAGAATTTCAATGAAACTTAAGTCACTACCGATATTTTCCGGTAAATCTCGTGAGTTTGTTGCGCTCATCATGGGGCCGTGTGAATGAATTTGGGCAAGATTTCCTACCTGCCCACAGATGCTTAAACTGAGCCCCCTTTTTACGTGGTGAACATAGTGATTTTTCTTTGTTTTGGGAAGGGGCGTTGTTACATTTATTATGCTGCAGTCGCTTGAGTGTTGAGAAATTGGGGAGAGCGAGCAAGCTTTCCAAACTTTGTCTGTTTTTTCTCTGGCACTGCCCCTAGTTTCAAGTTGCAATTCCAGTAGACATACCTATTAGCAGGTAAAATACTGGGCAGTCGCGGGACGGTGCGGATTCCGTGTTTCGCGCTTTTCGCAAGGTGACTGTGGAAGTGCTTTTGCGAGGTATGCGGAATAATCAAGCGATTTTGCTATGCCCGTCGTTTGCGTCTATCCAGCAAAACGAATAAGAGGATCTACAAAGGCGCAATCACAAGCTACGATTTACGATACAGTGCGTTTGCTTCGGTGGTCCGTGTGGTTGTACTTTACCCTGCTCTCTCAACACCGTGTCCTGACGAAGAGCTACTCGCGGATGGACTAGAAGGCACAGCACACTGCAGCCCGGGCACCGCGCGCTCAAAAAGGTACTTAAATACAATCTGCAGTATTTCAGCGAATTGAAATTTCCTCTCATTGACATTCCTACGCGTCCACCTGGAATATCATGGGGATAGCTCGTAATCACGAACACTCATGCTATTGACGTCACGACATTGAAATCACCACACGAGATAAGAAACGGAGGATGGAACATCCGGGATCTGGCAGTCAATCGGGTCTTCGATATCGTAACATATCTTTCACTATACCCTCATGCAGGTTAAACGCTCGCTTTATCAGGCACGCGATTAAGTTTTGTCTGAGGCAAGGAAACTTTCCAGGATCTATATTTTTATTGCCTTTTGACATTCTCGGAATTGGGAAAGGCCAAACAATATAGTGCCAAGCAACCTGTAGTCCTGCAGAAAGCGGTTTTGACTAGAGGCTTAAAAGGTGTGCGTCTAAGGTAATCGTATAAAAGAAAATAAAAAAGTCTCCCGGAGGCGCATATATTGCTAGCATAGTCAATGTGTGTAAAGTTTTCTGTTAGATGACTTCAA